AGGTATGAATGTTCGTTGCTCCGTTCTCCTCCTCTCCTGCCGCTCGCTCCGCCCCCTTTCATGAAATGGTAGGATGGAGGGTGTTAAGCGATTTTCGGCCCGGGGGGGCTCTTACAGGGCCCCTGGACTGCCGACAAACGACTCGGGGTGAAGAGCCTCGAGACCTCCAGGGTTTCACGCCGTGAAGAAATCGCAAGGCCAACGGCCTATGTCCTGCCGCCTTCCTGCGATGGGGGCATCGTCAGTGTTCACAGCTTCTGACGGGGAACTTTCCACGCATAGGCCTGCACCTGCCGCAGTACTCAGACTGAAGTGTGATGCGATGAACCGTGCCTTCAGGGCGCGCTGCGACTCGGGCACCCCCCGCAGCCACTCTTCGCCCTGACTGACAGCACTCAGTCGCGACAGACGATCGTGCCGATCCTGCCAGATCGAGGATACCCGCATGCCCCCTCGACCCCTCTCTCGTGCCCTCCGCACCTACTGGGACGGAGGTAACTGCTGGGACCGTCCTGCATATCGCCCTCGCGAGAGCCTTGCGTCTTCTCGCATGTCCTCCATCTTCGGTCACGACTGGAGCTGAATTCTTTACGCTTCGCGTATCCCCACCAGCCCATCTCACAGCAGCAACTCTCGCGAAGCATGCCGACAGTCGTGTTTTTCAGGCGTGTGTCCGCAGGGCCCCGCATATCTCCCCTGTTCCTCCTTCCTCCCGCCTCCTTGTACATCCTCCTTGTGGGGGGAGCGGGAGAAGGACGAGGCGAAGGAGGAGGGAGAGAAAGCGCTCCTCGTGGTTTGAGTCGTTTGGGGTTTCTCGTCCTGGTCTGAGTCGTTCGGGCCCTTCTTCCTGGTGTGAGTCGTTCGGGCTCTTCGTGGTGTGAGTCGTTCGGGCTCTTCGTCCTGGTGTGAGTCGTTCGGGCTTCTCGTGGTGTGAGTTGTTCGGGCCCCTCGTCCTGGTGTGAGTCGTTCGGGCCCCTCCTCCTGGTGTGACTCGTTCGGGCTCCTCGTGGTGTGAGTCGTTCGAGGCCCGCGTCGTGGTGTGAGTCGTTCGGGCTCCTCGTGGTGTGAGTCGGTCGGGCGCCTCGTCCTGGTATGAGTCGTTCGGGCTCCTCCTTGTGGTGTGAGTCGTTCGGGCTCTTCGTGGTGTGAGTCGTTCGGGCCCCTCGTCCTGGTGTGAGTCGTTCGGGCTCCTCGTGGGGCCTCTTGGGGGCCTCTTGGGGGCCTTTTGGGGCGTCTTGGGGGCCTCTTGGGGGCCTCTTGGGGGCCTCTTAGGGGCCTCTTGGGGGCTCTTGGGCCTCTTGGGGGCCTCTTGGGGGCCTGTGGGGAGCCTCTGGGGGCCTCTTGGGGGCCTCTTGGGGGCCTCTTGGGGGCCTCTTGGGAGCCTCCTGGGGGCATCTTGGAGCCTCTTGGGGGCCTCTTGCGACCTCCGCAGAAGCGCAAATGAGCGCTACCCCCTGAGAAGGACAAGATGAGCCGAAAACTTTCGTAAAATCAATGGTTTTGAGAACAAGGAAGAGGAGCGCTGCCCCCTCAGAAGGCCAAAATGGGGCCGACACCGTAGTAAAATCAATGATTTTGGCTTCACAGAAGAGGAGAGGGACTTAAGTGCGTCCCCCCGTCGGGGGCAGAATCCTCGTGAGGGGTGTCGTTTTTTAGCCCTCCCAGGAGTCGAAAAAGACCCCTCTGACCACCCGCGGCCCGCCCTCTCCAGACCCAGGGGGAGGGGGTAGGGGGAGGGGTAAACCCCTCCCCGAAGGGGAAGAAGGGGGTTGGGGGGTTGAGAACAGAGAAAGCTCGCTAAACCACTCACGCCCAAAGGGCTGGTGGGATTCCCCTGGCATTGCTCTTGTGGGTCGGGCGACGAGAACCGTGCACATTCAGGGATCCTGGCCAGGCCCACCCTGGGCCCAGGACCAGTGCATAGGCCTTCCTGACCAAGCCCGGAGCGCGTGTGCGTCGATCCAGGTGGCCCAGCATGGGCCTGGGCAGTGTATGTATATATCTGTCGGGGTACGGGGCCGGGGGCCTCTGGCCAGCTGCCTCGACTCGCCATGGGGGGACCCCTCCCCCCCGGGCCTCTCCAGAGCCGCTCCGGGGCGTCGGGCTCTGGACGGACCCTGGTGATGTTTCTGCACCATCTTCGACCCATGTCGCCGAAGCACGTGGTAGAGGTTTCGGGAGGCCTCCAACATGGCTCCAGACGCTTCCAGGAGCACTCCCAAGAGAACCCCGGGAGGCCAAAATTGATGGTTTTCCGACAGTTTGGGAAGTATTTTGGCCTTCTGCTTTTTTCGGTTGTACGACGCTCCACGACGGCCCAGGAGGTCTCCAGGTCCGCCCCCTAGCAGCCCCAGAGGCCCCCAAGACAAGCCCAAGGTGGCCCCGGAGAGCCCAAGGCTGGCCCAAGAAACGCCCACAACAGCCCAAGAAGGCTCCAAAACAAGCCCAATAAGGGCCCAAGAGAGGGACCGCGTACCGAACACCCAGGGCTCCCGCCTCAACAGTGACCCCGGAGGCCCCAGACAGCTCCCAAGAGTCCCCCAACATGGCTCCAACGCTTCCAAGAGCACTCCCACGAGGGCCCCAGCAGGCCAAAAATTGATGGTTTTATAATGGTTTGGGAAGGGTTTAGCCTTCCGATCTTTGCGGCTGTCCGACGCTCTTAGGCAGCCCAGGAGGCCTCCAAGACCGCCCCCAAACAGCTCCAGAAGCGCCCACGGCCGCCCCGAGGCGGTCCTGGAGAGCCCAAGGCTGGCCCAAGAAGCGCCCAGGGCGAGCCCCATGGCGGCCCAAGATGGCCCCAAGACGCCCTCCGAAGCATTCCAGATCGTGACCCGGTCGTTCAGGGAGACCGCGCTTGGAGGCAGGGTGGCCCGAGGAAGCCCCCAGATGCCCCCAGAATACGCCCAGGAGGCCTCCAGAAGGCTTTAAGAAAGCCTGACACAACTTTTGTGAGGCCCCCAGAGGCTCTCCAAGGAGGAGCCTCCGCAAACAAGAGCTGATGAGGATGGGGAGAATGCGCAGGGTATGGCGAAAAGGAGGAAAAAGAAACATGGAGGAAGGATAGCGAATAACGTTATTATAGCGGCGATGCCAGAAAAGGCAACAAGGAGTTATCGCTAAATTGTCGGCTTGACCTTCCTGCTATTCCGCCTCCATACCAAACTTCAAGGACCAAGGTGCATGGCGCGAAGCGCCACTGCAGTCTTGTATATATATATATATATATATATATATATATATATAGGTATGTCTGTGTGAATGTGTGTTTGTGTGTGCATCTCTACGTGCGTATGTATGCGCGTACGTATGCATGCATGTATGTATGAATGTATACTCTAAATCGCAGGAAGCGCAGGACGGACACTATCGATGTTTTAATCATTGCTGTTATTTTGGCTGCAGAGGGCATCTGCTCACAACCAGCCTCGTCGGGGCCATCCTTGGCCCATGGCATGGTGGCGACGCCCTCATGTGGGAAACCCGGCGTCCACTGCGTACCTTTTGGGGTCTGCCTGGTAGCCCACCCCGCCCAGGAGCGCGGGGCTTCGCCATCGGGGGCCTATCGCCGATCAATCGGCGATGCATCGCCGAGTCGGTGTTTCCACCCTGAGCCAGTCCCCCTCCCCTATCCTCGCCCCTTCATCTCGAGAGCCCCAGGTCAGACGGTCGCACCTCATCTCGAGAGCCCTCATCTCGAGAGCCCTCGCCCCTCATCTCAAGAGCCCTCATCTCGGGAGCCCTCGTCTCGAGAGCCCTCATCTCGAGAGCCCTCTATCCCCGCCCTTCATCCCGAGAGCCCTCGTCTCGAGAGCCCCAGGGGCCCCCAGGGACCCCCCTCGGAGACCTCCAGGGGCCCCCAAGGCGGAGCAGCACCGCCTCGAGGCCTGGCCTGCTGGTCCTGCCCAGGCTCGGCTCTCGCGCGCGCGGCGCGCGTCCCCCCCCCCCCCGTCAGCTCGATCGGCCCGACGAGACCGACTCGGTCGGTCAGGCTTGCTCGGTTCGACTGGTTCGAATGCGCCCAGTCGGCTCGACGGCGCTGATCGGTTCGATCGGTTCGAATACGCTCGATCGGTTCGAATACTCTAGGCCTCCTACATGGGGTCGGAGTAGATGGGGTCGGAGTAGATGGGGTCGGAGGATCGCGCCGCATCGCCGATGCATCGGCGATGTGGCTCGATGTGAGGCCAATTTGCTCCACGCCGAAGTCGCGGATGTATCGCCGACATCGCCAGTGCATGGCCGATGCATCGCCGATACATCGGCGATGCATCGCCGATGTATCGGCGATGCGGCGAGATCCTCCGACCCCAACTACTCGGACTCCATCAAGGATGCCTCTAAATACGCTCGATCGGCTCGACGACGCCGATTCCTCTGCGTTCGCGCGGCATCGGTCGGTCGGTCCATCTTGTTTGTTGTTGTTTTCGCTTGTTGGCTGTCTTCCAGTTGTGTGTGTGTGTGTGTGCTCGTGTGTGTGTGTGTGTTCTGTACATGAGAACCACTGTGCTGAAGGCTCTGGGGCTTTTTCAAGAATTGCGCGCTTCGCCCCCTAGAGAACGGCTACCAAGTGATGCGAGAACATGCAGAAGCAGTAAACGCTGGAGTCGGGCATCGGTCGGTCCGACTGTGCGCCCTCGGGAGCGAGCCCCCCCCTCGAGACAGCCGTGGGCTCGAGTCGATGCGACCGGCTCGGACTGTACAGGCCTGTCCGGCCGATCTGCGGTCGAGGGTGGCCTCTGGACGGCCACGCTCCCACATAGCCTGCCACTGGCGCTGCTGACCCTGTCGATGATCCTCAGGGCGCATGCTAGCCCAATGTGTGTTTACCCCGCTCAGCTCCACCGATAGCGCGCAGTCTGCGTCGGCCCTCGTTGCACTGCCTGCGTCGTGCTGCACGGCGCCCTTCTGGTGGACCAGCACATCTTGGCGCCGGCACACGTTCTGGGGACCGTCGGCCCCGCCGGCGAGGGAAAGGTGAGCGAGCGCGCCGCCCGCAGTGCCGCCAGCGCCTACGGCCCGGAGCTGAGGTGCATCGGGGTGGGCCCCCCGCTGCTGTTCATCTGAGGCCGGACCGTGTTTTTTTTTTTTTTGTGTGTGTGTGTGTTTTTTGTTTTTTGTTTTTGGTTTCACCGTTGTAGGATCCTCGTTCGGGTGGGCAGTTCCTCAAGATTTTGTATACCACACCCTCCCCGCCCCAGCCAGATTCCACCGCCCGGGGCCACATTCGGTATACGAGCACCGCGCCCAAGGGCCGGAATTTTGTATGTCAGACCCACGACTGGGACCCTTGCCCGCCCCCCGGGGCCTCTGGGCATAGTCCACAATTTTTTCGGGCGGAGCAGTGGCCTGGGTCGAGCGCCAGTGGACGCGAAGACGGCCGCGCCCCAAGCGGCTCCAGCCCCAGGCCCAGAGAGGGTGGCGGTGGTCCTGCCGTCGGGGCGGCGCGAGGCGAAGCGGCGCGCGGTCGGGCGACCTGGGCGTGGCAAGGGGTCCGGGTCTAACGAGAGGGGGGGATAGCAGGAAGCGCAGGACGGACACTATCGATGTTTTAATCATTGCTGTTATTTTGGCCGCAGAGGGCACCTGCTCACCATCACCACCGCGCCTGGTCGGGGCCATCCTTGGCTCTGGCATGGTGGCGGCGCCCTCATGTGGGAAACCCGGCGCCCGCTGCGTACTTTTTGGGGTCTCGGGAGGCCCCTTGCAGGCCCCGGGACCTTCATACCAAGGGCCAGGTCAGGGGGGATAGGCTTGAGGGGGATGCATCGACTGGTAGCCCACCCCGCCCAGGAGCGCGTGGTTTCGCCATCGAGGGCCTATCGCCAATCTCTCGGCGATGCATCGTCGATTCCAGGTCGATGTCCCCCTCCCCTCTCTAGCGTCCCCCCTCGAGGGGGTCGGGAGGGCAGCTGCTGGGACGGACGGCGTCGGAGGACGCACCCGCTCGTCACCCTTGGTCACACCTGGGGGGGCGACCTATCCTCGCTTTTCATCTCGAGGGCCCCTCATCTCGCCCCTCATCCTATCCTCGCCCCTCATCTCGAGAGCCCCAGAAGCCCCAGGGGCCCCAAGGGCACCCCCTGGTCACACCTGGGTAGGCGACCTAGACAGGCAAGCAGATGGAGGGTGGGGGAGGCCGGTTGTCTGGACAGGCTGCGTCGGAGGACGCGCAGTGGGGGCTGCCCTGGTTCTTCTTCTCGGCATTCAGCGACGTCCTCCCCGGTGGCCCTCATCTCGAGAGCCTCAGGGGCCCCCAGAAGCCCCCCTCGGGGACCTCCAGAGGCCCGCGAGGCGGAGCAGCACCGCCTCGAGGTCTGGCCTGCTGGTCCTGGCATTCAGCGACGTCCTCCCCGGTGGGAGATCGGGGGTGGATGGGTCCTGGCACGCTCTCGCCGCGCCGACGCGGCGACAAGGCGCAGGAGTTCAGTGCTGGACGCCGCCAGTGGCCTGGGATTGGACGATATCGAGCGATCGGGGCTACCCGCAAGGTCGAACGATCCACGCGGTGTCATAAACCTGTGCGAAGGTCGTCAGGACACGAGCCTGCCATGGGAGTGGCCAACCTCTTCTGGGGCGACGGGGGCCTATGCGCATCCACTGCCCGTGGCAGCCCCGTCCTCGAGCCAGGAGCAGTGTATCGGCCCTCCTGGCTTGGCCAGGAAGGCACACACACACACACACACCGCTCCTGGCTCCCAGATGGGCCTGGCAAGAGGCAGTGGATGTGCATAGAGATCTCGTCGCCCCATCTGTAGCCAATCCATTGCCTCCCCTCACTCCCGTCACTGCCCACCCGGCTTGTAGGAGGGGCCAGCTCGTCGGGCCGAGGTGCACACGCCCTCCAGGCCAAGCCAGGAGGGCGTGTCCGGCGGTCCTGGGCACAGAACTGGCCTCGCCGGGACCGGTGCCGCTGTATCGTCGGTGCCCCTCCTGGGCGGCCGAGACCTCTGGCGTCGTGTTTTTGCTGAGTGCGCTCCCTCTCCCGGAGCTCTCGGCCCCCTCCCCCCCACAGCTCTTCGCCCGGGACTTTCGCTTTGCGGTCCCAGGCCCCGAGCGACACTTCCGAGGAGGAACAGATGCCGATACCGCTGCCCCACTCGTTGAGTGCCCTCGTCGCCACGGAGTCCTGGTCAGGACGCGCCGCGGGAGAGGTCCGAGGAGTATTTAGGGGTGTCGGTACCTTTTGGTTTCACCAGCACCGACAGAAGGCACGACGTCGCAGGTCTAGGGGATTGGCTCACCCTGCCGCGGTGTCAGGAGGGCGGTGCCTCAACGCCCTGCCCTGGGCGTTGGAGAGCCGCCCTCCCTGCCAGCGCGTGGCGCTCAGAAAGCAGCGGCGCCCGTTCCTGCTTCCAGCAGCGGCTGCGGGGAGGAAAGGGGGCAAGGCGGTGGTTGAGGGGGGGAAGGTCATGCTGGGGATGCAGGAGCAGGAGGGAGGGAGGAACCCCTTTGAAGGAGGAGAGGGGGATGGGGAGGAGTGGAGGAGGCGGAGGAGGAGGAGGACGAGGAGGATGATGATGAGGAGGAGGAGGAGAAGGAGGAGGATGAGGAGGAAGAGGAGGACGAGGTGGAGGACGAGGATGACGACCATGAAGATGATATTGAGGAGGACGAGGAAGGAGGAGGAGGATGTCAGGAGGAGAAAGAGGAGGAGGAGGAGGAGAAGGAGGAGGAGGAGGAGGAGCAGGAGCAGGAGGAGGATGAGGAGGCGGAGGAGGTGGAGGAGGCTATGCCCGATGATGGTGGTGGTGGTGATGGTGATGATGACGGTGATGATGGTGGTGATGATGGTGAGGGTGGTGAGGATGATGATGACGATGACGATGGCGATGACGATGACGATGGCGACGACGACAATGATGATGCTGCTGATGATGATGACGATTAATATGGTGGCGATGCTGATGATGATGAAGATGATGGTGGTGATGATAATTATAATCAGGCTGATGCTGCTGCTGATGATGCTGACGCTGCTTATGTTGTTGATGATGATGTTGATACTGACGACGACGACTGCGACGACCTTAATGATGATGATGATAACAATGATGGCGATGATGATGCTGATGATGATGAGGCTGATGCTAATGCTGAGGCTGCTGCTGCTGATGATGGTGGGTGATGGTGATGATGACGATACTAAAGATGGGGCTGATGATGATGCTGTTGAGTATGGTGATGCTGATGCTGATGCTGAGTATAATGCTCATGCTGCTGCTGTCTGTGCTCATGCTGATGCTGCTGCTGCTGCTGCTGATGATGATGATGATGATGATGATGATGGTGCGGATGACGATGCTGCTGCTGATGATGATTATGATGATGATGCTGACGATGCTGCTGATGATACTGCTGATGATGCTGCTGATGATGATTATGATGCTGATGATGTCGATGCCGATAATGGCGATGATGGTGCGGATGCTGTTGCTGCTGATGACGATGCTGATGATGATGCTAATGATGCTGCTGCTGTTGATGATGATGATGCTGCTGATGCTGCTGATGATGCTGGTGATGATGATGATGATGGTGATGGTGGTGATGATGATGTTGATGCTGCTGCTGATGATGATGATGACGAAGATGAAGATGATGATGAAGATGAAGATGAAGATGAATATGAAGATGATGATGATGATGATGATGATGATGATGATGATGATGATGATGATGATGATGACGTTGATGATGATGAAGATGATGATGATGATGATGATGATGATGATGATGACGATGATGGTGATGGTGATGGTGATGGTGATGGTGATGGTGATGATGATGATGGTGGTGGTGATGATGATGATGGTGATGATGGTGATGATGATGATGATGATGATGATGATGATGATGCTGATGATGATGATGATGATGATGACGATGAGGATGAGGATGAGGATGAGGATGAGGATGATGATGAGGAGGAGGAGGAGGAGGACGATCCCACCTTTTCCTCTTCACTGGGCCCCTCCCCTCGCCCCTTGACGCGTCGCCCCGCCGCCCGCCGACGGGCACGACTCCCTGCTTGAATGGCGTGCTCGCTCGCTCGCTCGCCCCCTGCCTCCTTTTTGCCCAAGCTGGCCGTTTATCCCCTTCGCTCTACTTCCCTTCCCCTCGCCCTCGTCGGCTTCGTCCTCCTCCTCGCAGCCGTTCTCCTTGTTGTCCCCACATGGCTCGTGGCGGTTGTCTTGTCCTGTCTCGACCTCCCATCAGGTCCTCGCATAGGAGCCGGTGCTGTGTGTGACCCATCAGATTGGACAACCATGTGAGCCACCTGAGGGGACGCCGTGGTCTCGGCTTCCACTTCCCAAGTGGAGTCGAGGAAACAACATCAACATCAGCTTCCAGAGGGCAGTGAGGATTTCTCGTGTGGGCGCTGGACGCCCTTCACTACACCCCAGGCGGCGCATCCGGCGCCGTCTCCGGCACGGGGGGTCTACCGAACACATCCGCGCAGGCTTCCGAATTCTTGACGCTTCGCGTGTGCCCACCAGCAGGTCTTGTTTCACCGATGCAGTGGGCCACTGGGGCGGACTGTTGTTACCTCCTGGGGCTGAGATACCCCCCCACCACTGAGATAGTTCCTGCGTTAGCGTGGGCCTTTAGCCCGTTCGGCCGGCTGAAATAATCCCGTTGTCGGTTTGGCCGCTGCGTCGGCCCGTGTTGTTCCGAGACGGCTCGCTCAAGGCGCCTCGCCCTCTCTCGGCATTCTACATTCTTTTTGTCCGCGGCGTACGCGGGCCGGGACACACCGGACGCTGGCCTCGGCCATTTCGGGTGCCCATCTTTTGGAGTCGGCAACATGCAGTGGCTTCCACTTCGTCGCCCGTTGGGGCGGCGGGTTCTGACCCCCTTGCACATGGGCGGGGTGACAGTACGGTCAGCCTTGTCGGCATTGGCAGACAAGGACGTTGGTCAGGCACCTTTCAGGCGCTCGTTTGTGACGTCGGCTACAGTCACAGGAGTGCTTTCGAGATGCGCAAGCCGCACACCGCCTTGGTACCAGGGGCCATCGCGGGCGCTCTCCTTTGTGGTCGGCCACCACCAGGCTTTGGCCCGAACCCCCCTCGGCGGCGTACAGGCTGGCCGACGTTCCAAGTGAGTGAGTGGTTTTGGCACCTTCCGCCTGGCAGTCTGGCCCCACCTGCGAGTCCGACCTTTAGCCCCCCCCACCCGGCACACGCTCAGCGGCTGGTTTTCCTAATTGCATCCCTCGCTGGCACATGTTCAGCGTCGCTTATTCTCTGCTGCTGGCACATGCTCAGCTGCTTCTTGGCCGGCACTTGTGCTGTGCCGTTAATTATCTGCCATCCCGTGCGCTGTGGCCCAGCCTCGTTCTTACCGCCCTCTGGACTTTTCCTTGCGGGCCGCGAATCCAAAAAGTGTGCCCACCAGCACGGCCTGCCCCTGCTTGTACGGCGTTCGACTCGCTTCGCGCGCCCGCGTAGCAAAAAGTGTCCCCGCCAGCCCATGCAGAAACATATCGCCAGGCGAGTTGTCTTGGTTAGGGAAGAGTAGACGTATGCAATGTAACAATCGCCGTGGAAGTGTTTATTCGGTCTCTTGGAGCCATCTTAGGTCTCTCTTGGGGTCCTCGCGGAACCACTTGGGGCACTCTTGGCCCCCCCCCCCCCCCTTGGAGGCTCAAGGATGGCGTCTTGGGGCCGTCTTGGGGCGCTCTTGGGGCCGACTTGGAGCCCTTTTGGGTTTCTCTTGGGGCTTTCTTGGGCCACCTTGGGACCATCTTGAGGTCTCCGAGTTCCATCGGAAGCGAAAAGGCGACAAGGCTAACATAGATTTCCTGAGGCTTTCGAGCATTTGTTCCCCTTGGGAGGGTCCTTGGAGGGCGCGGAGGGCACTTGAAACTGTCTTGGGGCCGTCTTGAGGCCTCTTGGATGTGCGTCGGAGGTTATTTTGAGCCGTCTTGAGTTGTCTTGATCCATCTCGGAGGTCATCTTGGGGCCTCTGGGGCCCTCCTGGAGCCATCTTGGGCGATCTTGGGGCTCTAACGCCTCGCCCCCCCCCCCCAAAAGGGTGGGGGAGGGGGTCAATACACCCTCGTAGATAGCAAGCCGTCTAGCTCACTCCCACCCGCCCTTCCAACACATTAGTAACACCCGAGCCTCAGCATGTTCAGCGGTCGTCTTTGGATGGGCAGCTACTGGGAACCAAACGCGAACCCATGTGCGCGACGCTGGGGCGAGGTGCGCCACGCGTGCCAGGCGCGCCACGCGCGCCAGGCACTCTTGGGGCCCGATCGTGCACGCCAGCGGGGGTGCCGCTGGGGCCCCCCAGCGCGGCAGGGTGCCGCTCGGTGTCGCGAGGTTCGCGGCCAGGCCGGGATAGGGCCCTGCGGCAGCGCAGGACGGCGTCGGGGCCGCGCTCGCCGAGAGCGATAGGCGGGTTAGAGGCCTCTGCTGTTGTCTTCCGCCCGCCAGAGCTGTGCCTTCCCCTTTTTCGTGTTTTGTTTTTTGTTATTCTTTTTTTTGTTGTGTGCTCTCTCTCTAAATATATGTGTGTATGTATGTATGTATGCATGTATGCATGCATGCATGCATGCATGTATGTATGTATACATGCATGCATGCATGCATGTATGTATGTATGTAGGTAGGTATGTAGGTATGTATGTATGCATGCATGCATGCATGTATGTATATACATACGTACGTACGTATGTATGTATGTCTGTATGTAGGTATATATATACATAGCAAATCTTCGAACTCAGGTTAAAACAGCGAATGAACACGCTCTGGGCCATAACGCGCGTTATGCCCCCCTCCCCTCCTCCCCTCCCCTCCCCCCATAACGTAATGCTCCCCCCCTCAGTGCGTCCCGGGCACTGCCGCAGTGCGTCCGGCACCACAGTGGGGTCCCTCCTCCCCTCATAACGCCCGTTATTGCCGCGAATGGAAAAAATACTCTTGTCCTCCGCCCGCCAGATCGATGCCTTCCCTGGTCACTCCAACGCCGTGGCCTGGAAAGCAGCACGCCAGGAGAAGCAGGGGGGGGGGTACGGTGGGTTCATGCGGCGTTGGTGCGCCAGCGACGCCAGCAAAGTCGTTCCAGGTTGAATTCTGCGACTCGACAGCACCGAGGGACACAGTAACGCAGTTGGACCCGACTGAATTCAACCCTGAATGATCGGGGCCGCGATGGATTCAAGGTTGAACGGTCGACGCGGTGTCAAAAACCTTCGTGCGCCGACGCCGAACGAATCTTTATGTGGGATGAGTAGGATTTTGATGCTCTTCGTTCTTTCTGGGCCTCCTGGGGGGCCGTCGTCGCCGCGGCATGCATCCGCCCTGGAGTCCTGGCCAGAGCGATCTCTGGCACGGCCCTCCACCAGGCACACCGAAAAGGCACGACGGGCGTCTTGGTCGCACTCGCCGCCTCCTCGGGCCCCTGGGGTCATGGAGCAACGGCTCGTGGCCAAGAGGCAGTCCTTCGGGTGGGGTCGAGAGCTCTGGGACATGGGGCGTAGAGCAGCCCACTATACGCTTGTCTCGTTCAAAGCCGACGACGTAGCGTTGTAGCCCTTGGCGGCCTTCGGTGCGCCTTTGTCCACACACTGGAGGGCCCATGTGTGCAAACACACGTTACGGTTAGCGCACGTAGTCCGGATCATAGACAGTCGGGTGAGTCTTTGTCGTCCAGCGCTGATGCAGACAGCAAGCTGCGAGCCAGGCGAGGGCCCAAATCACTCGCGAGGTTCGGCTTGAGTGACGCCCTGAGCAGAAGAAGAGCGACGTCAGTTGGTCCCATGAGTCTTGCCATTCAAGGGTGTGGTCTCTTGTGTGATGCTCTCTTATTCTTTCGCCAGACCGGAATTGTCAGGGGCTCAGCTTTGGGTGTCAGCCACGGGGAGAGGTCGGCTTCGTTTCTTCGAGCGTGTGTGGAACGTTGCGCCCATAGCCTTGGATCAAGAGCTGCCTCGCGTCATTGGTACACTTCGCACGGCCCGGTTTCCATTGTTGTGAGGTTAACCGCCGTCGTCAGCTGCCAGAAGTGTGGTCGGGAACCCTCACTTCCTGGATTGGAGCGTCAGCATCGAGGTGCGATGGCGCACGCTGCGGCACGGTCGCTGAAGGCTAGCGGACTGCCAGAAAACCTGGACCAGCAGGAGCTGCTCGCAATGTTCGAGCCGGAGGACGAGCTCGCTGGGCTCCGCGTCGCGTGCGATGCCTCGGGCATGTGTTGCGGGTACGCCGTGCTTGACTTCAAGCGTCCGTTAGCTGCAGCCAAGGCTCTGGCCCGTTACAATGGGCGGCAGATCCCGGGCCGCAAGGCGTGCCTTCACCTCTCAGCTTCGTCGGCGCGCGCTCCAGCGCCGCTCGCGGGCTACCAGATCTGTGTCGGCGGCCTCCCGAAGGAGGCTTGCGACGCCGACCTCTTCCAGGCCTTCGGGGCGCTCTCCGAGGGCGTGGTTGGTGCGCGGGTGCCGCGCATCCCCGACACGGGCCTCTCGTGGGGCTACGGCTTCGTCCGGATGAGCACTGACGAGGAGGCCCTGGACCTCGTCCTCCGTGCGCCGAGCGTGGCCGTGCTGGGTCGGCCCCTGTGCGTTGTCCAGACGTTCCAGGGCGACCACGTGTGGCAGCACTCTGGCGGGCCATCTGGAAGCGACCCGGACCGGAGCGTCATGATCAAGAACCTGGACTCGCACATCGAAGAGTCTTGGCTGAGGGAGTTTCTTGGCGCCTTCGGGGAGGTCGATACCGTCCGCGTCGTCGGTCAGAGGTGCTTCGCCTTCGTGACGTTCAAGGAGCACGCGGCGGCTCTGGGTGCGATGTCACTGCTGCAAGATCGGAAGGTGCGCGGTCGCGCGCTAAGGCTTGAATGGCCGAAGGCTGCGCGCAGGGAGCTGCCTCAGGCCATAGAGGCCCCAATGAGCCGATCTGGGGTGCGGTTTGGCGTGCTGCCGCCCCGGACCAGGCGTGTCGCATACCCCGCCCCGCCGCAGACGAAGAGGACGCGCACAGCCTGAGGAGCTCAAGACAGCCGCCTCGGGGTAGTCTAATTCGGTCTTGCACCGTGGCCGCGCAGCGCTGGCTCTGCGTGGGGTTGGCGGAGCGGTTTTGTCACGCGCGGAGCGGGAATAGTAGGCATGCGGCCCAAACTTCACAGGCATGCTGTCTGAATCAGTGGCGGTGCGAAGGAGGTGTGTCGCCAACTCATGGACGTCAAACATAGTCCAAGGAAGTACGCAATCCACTCAATACGACGCTTACTAGGATCCAGAAGCACACAGTATAACCGTGAAGCTGTATAGGAACACATTACGGTGAGCGCCTTGGTGAACCAGTGCCCGGCAATCCTCTTGACACCCTGGGGATTCATAGCTTGAATGGGATGGGAAATGAGGAGGATGAGGATGAGGGTGAGGGTGAGGATGAGGGTGAGGGTGCGGGTGATGATGATGATGCTGATGATGATGATGATGATGATGATGAGGATGAGGATGAGGATGATGATGATGCTGCTGATGATGATGATGCTGCTGATGATGATGCTGCTTGTGATTATGATGATGAAGACGATGCTGATGGTAACACCGATACTGATGATGATGATGATGATGACGATGATTATGATGATGATGATGATGATGATGATGATGATGAGGATGAGGATGAGGATGAGGATGATGATGACGAGGATTGCGATGATGATGAGGATGATGATGAGGATGAGGATGAGGATGAGGATGAGGATGAGGATGAGGATGAGGATGAGGTGATGGTGATGATGATGACGATGATGCTGATGATGATGATGCTGCTGCTTCTGATGATGATGATGATGATGATGATGATGATGATGATGATGATGATGATGATGATGATGTTGCTGATGATGATGCTAATGACGATGAGGGTGATGCTGATGATGATTATGACCATGATGCTGCTGATGATGCTGCTGATGATGATGGTGATGCTGCTGATGATGATGATGAGGAGAAGGAGGAGGATGAGGAGGAGGAGGAGCAGAAGGAAGAAAGAGGGGGATAATGATGAGCTGGCGGAAGAGGAAGAGGACTGGAACGGTGAGGGCAACCGAGGAGGAGGAGGAGGTGGAGGAGGAGGAGGAGGGCCCCTCGTGTCGCTCATGTATCGGGACCATTTGCGCACAAAGCAAAATAAGCCACGCACAGAAAAATAGGTAATCTAGCCGCCCTCCACAGGCAAAGCAAGAAAGGCTCCCCCAACTCACCATTTATTCTGTAAGAATTCACATTTTCTACGATCAGGGTTACACGTGCCATCTGAAACAGAGCCCCAGAGGTGCGAAATCTTCCACGACATCAAGGACACGGGGAAGTACAGGCGGGCCGCTGAAGGAGGAACCCTTTTCGTTGGGGAGGTGCTCAGTTTCCCTGAATTGTTTTGCATTTTTTCTCAGGTGCTCTTTTTTGGTTTCTGTGGGGAGTCGAAGTTCAACTTATGGAAATTCAGTGGCCTCGCCTCTTACTTAGTGCTCCTTGTGACGGCGTGTCGACTGCACCTGAATGTTGTCCAGCATGCTCGGCGGCGAGCGAGGGGGGAAAATGAGAAGGAAAAGGCCTTCTCAGAAGGCGGTGGGACTTCTCAGAAGCTCTCGCGCCTGCTGAGAAATCTTTACGTCTTCGGGGAAGGCTTCGAAAACTTCTTAGAAGACCAGGGGACTTCCGGACCTTCTGAGAAGGCCTTCTTCCTTCTCACCTCCCCCCCCCCTCGCTCGCCTCCGACGTGCACCGGCCGCGCGTCCACCCGACCCTCCCTCTGGAGCTCCGCGCGGCTCTTCCTCGGGTCGGCGCGGCAGGGGGGCCTGGCGCCGACCCCCGGGAGGCCCGCGCCGACCTCCGGGCGCCTGTGTTCGTGCCGCCCGCTCTTGCCCCTCCAGAGCGCCTCGTGCACAGTCAAACCAAATCATCTCGGGGGCAGCGTTGGGGGGGGGCTGGGCTGGAGTCGGGCATGTCCCACTACAGGAGGAGTGCTCAGGAGTAGTCAAACCATCGACTAGTGACGACTTCTCGTGCTCTCATGATCCTACAAAGAGTATGGTTTGACTATTTCTGAGTTTTCTTCCAAAATCTGGCTGCAGGCGGACATGCCCGACCTCAGGCTAGGCTCCGGGGGGGGAATGCATCACCTCCCAATCGCCTTTGCATCGCCGCGAGGTGCCTGATGGCCCACCCCGCCCAGGAGCGTGCGGTGTCGCTATCGGGGGCGTATCGCCGACCTGTCAGCAATGTATCGCCGATACCAGGTCGATATCTCCCCCCCCTGAGCTCACGGGCAGGGCACTTTTATTCATCCTTGGGCACGTCTTCCTCACCCTCCCACTCGCGGGCGGGCGCGGCACCGAGGATGCTGGATGTGCAGAGCCGTAGGATACTATGAACCAGGTGCTGTCTCCCCCCTGAGCCTCGCCGATCCACGATTCAGGCAACTCGATGGGCGTAGGGGGAATGGTTCGGAATTCGCCAGACACCTGGCGAAATCCGAACCCCCCCCGCCTCCCATTGATTCAGGAGAATCGACGGTTGGTGGTGGTACCTGCACCCCTCACCTTCTCTCTCTTTCGGGCTTTGCGGATGCACCTGCTAAAGGCTCCTCCGCCCTTGGGAGCGGCAAATGGCCCCCTCCTCGGTCTGCATGGCGTCTTCAGCGTAGTGCACACCCCTGGTAACGATGCCCTCTGGCGTTTTTTCGTGGATTTCCGAGTTCCGAGTTCCCCCTGTTCCCTCGCGCAGAGGTCGATCGGCGAACTGATACAGCATTTCGTGGGACGTCAAAACACGGCCAGCATGAGCTGAGGACTCCGGCCCCCCCGCGCAGAGGCTCTGAAGGGGCCCCGCCCGTCCGTTTCTTATCTAGCGCCCTTCTGGCAGTGAAATGGCGGAGGGGGGCGTTGATGTCATGGCCCCCTCGTCTTCTTTCGACACGCTCCTCCTCCTCCTCCTCCTCCTCCTCCTCCTCCTTTCGCCTCGCGCCTCGCCTCGCGGAGAGATTCTGGCCCAGCAGCTGTGGGGCGGATTGGCGGCTCGTGGCCAGCGGGCGCGTCCTGCCAGGGGCCCATGTCGGACGGCGAAGGGGCGCCGCCGGCCCAGGACGGGGCGGCAGGGACGGGCGGTGGCGACCCAGTTTTTCCAAACCATCCTGTGGTGTTGGGTCCTCGTTTTGAAGAGACAGCGCCCCGCGTCTCCTCCTCCTCCCCTCCTCCCTCCCCCCATCATCCATCATCATCATCATCATCATCATCATCATCATCATCATCATCATCATCATCATCATCATCATCATCATCATCATCATCATCATCATCATCATCATCATCATCATCATCATCATCATCATCATCATCATCATCATCACCATCACCATCATCATCATCATCATCAGCATCAGCATCAGCATCAGCATCAGGATCAGCATCAGCATCATCATCAGCATCAGCATCAGCATCATCATCAGCATCATCATCATCCTCATCATCATCATCATCATCATCAGCAGCAGCATCATCATCATCAGCATCATGTTCATAATCATCATCAGCATCACCCTCATCGTCATTAGCATCATCATCATCATCAGCACCATCATCATCATCATCATCATCATCATCATCATCATCATCACCATCCTCACCAGCATCATCATCATCATCATCACCATCATCACCATCAGCAGCATCAGCAACATCAGCAGCATCAGCATCAGCAACATCAGCAGCATCAGCATCAGCATCAGCATCAGCATCATCATCAGCATCAGCATCAGCATAAGCATCATCATCAACATCAGCATCAGCATCAGCATCAGCATCATCATCAGCATCAGCATCAGCATCAGCATCATCATCATCATCATCATCATCATCACCATCATCATCATCATCATCATCTTCACCCTCATCCTCATCCTCATCTTCACCCTCATCCTCATCCGCATCCTCATCATCACCCGCATTATCATCCTCATCCTCATTCTCATCCTTATCAGAATCATCATGAACATCATAGTCATCATAATCCTCATCAGCATCATCATCATAGTCATCATCAGCAGCAGCAGCATCATCATCATCATCATCACCATCATCATCATCATCATCATCATCATCATCATCATCATCACCATTATCGTTATCACAAGCACAGGCTTTCGTGGCCCCATAGGAAGCTCCGCCGAAGGTCCCAGTAGCGCAGTTCGCATGCGTCCCCCCCGCCCAGTACAGCGTTTCGTGGCCCCATATGGAGCTCCACCGAAGGTCCCAGTGGCGGAACTCGCATGCGGTTCCTGCGCCCAGTGCAGCGTTTCGTGGCCCCATAGGGAGCTCCACCGAGATTCCTAGGCGCGGAACTCGCATACGGTTCCTGCGCCCAGTACAGCGTTTCGTGGCCCCCGAGGGGGAGGAGGCTCCACCGAAGGTCCCAGTTGCGGAACTCGCATGCAGTTCCTGCGTCCAGTGCAGCGCTTCGTGGCCCCATAGGGAGCACACCTTTCACACGCTTCGTGGCCCCATAGCCTGGGCGCGAGCGGTCTGTAGCCAGACCTTCTCTTGGTCCTGAAGACTCTCGCCCTGGGCCGTCGGCTGTCGGGCGCGCCGCTCCCTTGGCCTACGTCACCCAGGCGTGATCCTGGACCGCGGCCGCCACAAGGTCGGGAACGGCAAGAAGGAGGACGACGAGAGGTGGCTGGAGCTCTACGTGCTGCTCTCGCGCGCCACGCGCCACGATGGCCTCCTGCTCATGCGGGCGCCGCGAATCGAGTTCTTCCTGGCAGGGCCGCCGGAGGGCTTGCGGAAGCAGCTGAAGCAGTTTGCGGCGCGCACAAAGCGGTGCCAGAGAGAGGCGACGGCCCTCGCCAGGGAGCTTGGTTTCACCGAATTTATCCGCGAGGCCTGACCAGGGCAGCGGCCCGCCCTAGCCTCGCCTTCTCTCGGCGGTCTGACTGTTTGCCCCGCGCCGCGGACGACCCGCGCGCGTCGCTGGGGCCCTCCCGGAGCGACCGGCGCGCGTCCTGGGAGTTCCATGCCGCGCTCTGCCCAGCGCCTCGCTCGCTTGTCGTCGCTCTGCCCAGCAGCCAGGGCCTTGCCCGCAATCGGCCAGCGAGCTAGCTCTGTTTGCTCCGCGCAGCGGGCGACCCGCGCGCGTCGCTGGGGCCCCGTCGGGGCGACCGGCGCGCGTCGCGGGGGCTCCGCGCCGCGCTGCGCCCGCAGCCTTGGGCTGCGGGGCGCGCGGGCGCAGAGGGAGAAACAAAGGGGAGAACAGTCTTGGGCGGTCTGGCTTTTCTTGCCCCCTCAAGCAGATCGCGGGCAGAGGGGGCCGCGCCGAAGGCCCCATAGGGAGCTCTACCGAAGGCCCTAGCGGCGGCGCCCGCGCCCGCGCGCCGCCGTTCCACTTTGGCGCGTCCCTCGCGCGGTTCGTGCCCCCATAAGAAGCTCCGCCGAAGTCAATGTTCACAGATGCGGCATTCGCAGCTGCATGTGGCTGGGTCCTTCGCCAGGCTAATTTCGAGCCGGGCGCGGTCGCCCAGCTTCGGGCCCCGGGGCCTTGCCAGATGGACCCTCCGGCTCTCAACGTGGCGCACAAAAGTGGGGTCCGGGGCTCCAGTCGTGATTTGTCGCGAGGTTTCAGTTTTTTTCCGAAGCGTCGGGTCTCGGGGTCCAAACGGGGGCGGTGTTCGGAGGCGGCGATAGGGGGTGCAGAGTCGAAACCGATGGCGGGGGTGGGTAACCTCCCCAAGGGTACCCTTGCATCCGTGCCTCTGTGGCCTTGTTTGACTGCTCTCGATGGCCCGCCGCGCTCGGGAAAGCCTCGGCGCGGGCGTCCAAGGGGCTCGCATCCCCACCCCGCATCCGTGCCAGCAGTTTTGACTGAAAGTGGCGAATCGCCCAGGGGTGGGCGTTGCAAGCATTCTCTTGGGAGCCTCGCCGGAGACATGTCGACTACGCGTAAGATTGGCCCTTTGCCAGAATGACTTTTGTTGCGGGTTCATTGGGGTCCCTTCGATCGGTGAGCGCGATGCGATAGCGGCTGAGTGCGTGCCTGGATGTGGCCACCCTGCGCCCCTGTACGCCGCGCACGAAAGGTCATTCTTTCCTAGCGTCGCTATTGCGTGTAACCGATACATGTATTGTTCTCCCCTGGGTTATTCGCCCCCGTCGTCGCCCCCCAGGCGTGAGGCGTGCGGTCTTGTAAAAAGGCGGCGGGCGTTCTAAGATGGCACGGGGGGGCTTCCTAAAGTCCCGCCCGGTTTCCAGGAAACCTTGTTTCAAGTTCCCTGGGCCTTCTGAGGCGGTCCCTGCCTTGCAAGGGTCTCGTCCGCCTTCTCAGCCAGCTTCCCCCTATCACGCTACCGCCTTATGTGCGCCGTCAAAGGAAGGCATTATGGGGGTTTCGGGGCGTTCCTGGGAGGTCGTGTCGTGGCGGGCAGTGCTCGAGAGCCCTTTACCATTTAAGCGAGGAGACTGCCCAGGGAGGGTGGGGCCCGGGGAGGTTGGGCCAGTTGGGAACTCCCGCCCAGAGGGGAGTTGGAGGACGGCGAGGAGGGGGAAGAGGAGGACGGAGGAGGAGGAGGAGGAGGAGGAGGAGGAGAA